AAGCGGTTGCCACTCCAGCTCCTGTCAGAGCGGCCTTTTGACTTCGGCCGACGGCCAGCTTTTTCCGAAAAAGTTTCTTGGTTTCGCATAACTTTGCGACCGGGTTTCTAACTTGAAAATCATTCGCTTGTCTGGCACTAACAAGGTCTTGTTGTGGCTACTTATTACGATGAATAGACAGACCCAGCTTTATTCGATGTTGAAAACCTCAATAGCTCTAAAAGCGAGCGGGAAGTAAAACCGGGTGAACTATTTATTGGAACAGTTTGCTTTAAAGGCCATGGGACATTTATTATGAAGCAAAAAATTATGTAAATGGTCTAAGTCGTTTAAGAACAACAACCGCCAGCCATCTATCATGGGGCAGTAAAGCAATGAAAACACACATCAAGATTTCCAATTCAGGAATGTGCTAAAGCAAATTTCCATTTTAATGCAGCATTTTCATATCTACATCAGAAATTACACTAACGCTTTCTTAAACGTCAAGTTTAATTTAATTGGAAATTAAACCTGGAAAACTCCTTGCACAAAATAGGAAAAGCACACGTAACAAATAAAATTATCAACTGAATAATTTATCGTGACACAGAGTAATGGCACCATATTAATTACATGCGTACAAAAAACACCTCTACGTTAAAAACACAGTTCGCAATTAAGGCTGACCACCAAAGATTTATTACCCGTTTCCGTCTTAAGTCCGTCAGTCATTCCCGGCAAGAACCCGAAACCATGAATAATAATTCCACATTCAAATTTTTCGAGAAGGTCATTACCACATGGTTTTCATTCATCAACTCTAAATCCCATGTGCTCATCGCAGTCCTTTATACAGGCAAAATGCACAAGACTGGAAGAAACTGAAGAATCAATTAATCATAGCCTACACCATACCGATGGATAAAAGAATAGCCACCCAGAATGGGTTATGAAACTGGTGGCAACCATATTACGAACCACTGTGTTCCAATTACTTATACATTCGAAGAAGTTGCCACTGGACGGTAATTAATTGTTTATTCCACTTGCTCAGTAATGAATAGCAGGTTTCAATGCAGTTTTAACAACAAAAGATGCATCATAAATTTAGTACCGTACAATGTTTCAAAGCAAATGGGGTGAAAATTTTGCCTACATTTAGGTGTGAAAAAGTCTGAAATATCGAGAGTTTTCCAAATCTGCTGATTAAATTAAGTAAAGTTTTGCAAAATCCGTACATTGTTGTAAAGTTCAGTGTCTCTAAAAAGGAAAACAGGTGAAACATTTTCATAATTTACTCTAGTAGTTCCACAGAATAACCAATTACTTAATTTAACAAGCCGTAGAGAAATTATTTTGAGCCAAATGGCATAATAATGTTTTCTGTACTTATTACAAGTTTTCATTTCATCATAACTGCCAATAAATCGATGAAAGTTAAAATTTGCCTGTTAAATTCAGATAAAGGAAACCTTTGTAAGTCCCACGAGCCTCACTAATAGCCTTTGGAGGGCTGCAATTGATAATGCATGTCTATTTATTTCAAATTAAATATTTACTGCATACAAAGGCAAATGAAAAGTGGCGATTTGCTAACAAGTTGTATATGGATTGAATTGCAATTGAATGAGTTGTCTTGCGGATTCTGTGATGATGAGAAAACTGAAACGCTTTTTTATATAAGTAAGTACTAAGCTTTCGGCAATTTATGTTTGCCTTCATCAGGGTAGGTACATATTGTTAGTTCGCACAAGTTAATCGTTTAATTATGTCCTAACTTTTCATACACCCGAGAGGTAAACGATGGTTTAGTATTAGAAAAGTTGAAATTAAAGTGCAAAAGAGTTAGAAAAAATTAACTAAAACAGAAATTTTTCACAAATAATAAAATTATTTCTAAGTACAAAATATTGACAACTAAATTAAATAATATCTAATAATAATTTTAATGAAACTCTTCAGGGTGTCGGTGGGGAACCACCGCGATCGATAGGAATATGGCAAACTATAATTAGGAGAAATTAATGGTTACATGGTCTGGATGTTGTCGTTTCTCGTCAATTATCAGCTGCATAGTTGCCTGGAAAAGCGTCAGTTTTTATGCAATGCTGCGAGTTCTTTGTAACAACTTTTGGTCCAGTGTCTGTCTTTAGCCCTTTATTGGCGTAGTTTCTTACAGCTTCTGCTAAGTTACTGTGGCATTTCCCCATAACTAATCGCATATTCGCAAATTCGGTGTTGGTGAAGATTTTGTGAAAGCAGCTCCAAACTGAGTCACAGTTAAACAAATTCTTGACAAAGATTATCTACATGCCACTATGTGTTGACTATGTTTTGTGTATGATTTTTGCAACATTGTTGCCACTTTCAGTTTTCATAAAAGAAATGTCGAAGAGTAGGTACTTTTTTAGCATAGAAAATTGTCATAATTTCAAGTAAATACGGCAATTTTTCTGTTTGTATGGTCAAGTATTTAATAACCTACCAACTACCAACTAAACATGGGACCATTTCAAAATAATACCTATTGAGTTGGAAGTCGATTTTCAACTGTTAATGGGTATCTTAACTGGAAATTTTCGAAAATGTTTTTGCAAATTTTTTCTCGTACTAGTGAACCCCTAAAAATCCTTAAAAGGAAAGACCCCAATTTTGAGTCACCTTGATTGACCCTTTTTATAACTTTAAGGATGAAATTAAAAGTGGGAGTACGTTTTTTGAATAAAGTTATGGTCGTTCATTTTCTTTAATATTAGTCTAACTCAGTTTCATTAAAATATAATATTTCCATCTTTTCAAATTTTATCGAGGTATATTTTAATTTTAATTTGTGAACGTTATGGCTACTTTTTGCGCTACATTGACGAAATATAATTGAAATTAAGCATTGTAAGTAGTTCAATTTTCAGCTTTTATAGAAAAGATTTCAGATCGAAATTATGTACCTATATTTTCTAAACCACATAAGCACAGCAAACGAAGCGAAAAAATTGTAGACAAAGCAGGGTTTACTTAGGCTGCAAAAACTGGAAATCATTATGGAAATACTTGACAACTTTTCATTTGAAAATAAATATGCTGTTTTCTAATTAGATCATGCTTTTGAGGTTTTTATTTATGACAGTTCATCATCAAAATATTATTTGAAACAAAGCTTCACTATCACTCTTTGCTGTAATTTACTCTGCAATATTTTGCTTTACTTACAGTGGCGGCGTTAAGCGTGGGCGAGGTTGGGCAAGCCCCCAACCAAAATTTGTCTCGCCCAACCACTTTTAATAGCGATACAAATAATTGAAAATTTGAAAAATCAGATCAAATTCGACAATAATGTTAGTGAACGTGAAAACATTCCGAATTCTTCGGGACTTGAAAGTAAGTTTTTAAGTACTTAAGATTAATAAATTATTTTGTAATCTAAATTTGAGTATTTGTATCCTGCTAAGACAACAACAAAACTGCTTGCCTCTATCGGTACATGAATTTTCAAGACAGCCGATCTTAGCAAATTTTGCTAAAAATCAGTATGGTTGTGATCTTCGTAGTTTTAAGTCGTTATGGTATCATGTATCCTTATGATTAAGTAGAGCATTCTCAAAGATGCTGCATTCCGTTTTCCTTTGTAGATTTTTCTTCAAACAAGGTGGAACCAGCATTTTAAGTTTTATTACTAAAGGTTACAAGAACTGGAAGAGGGCTGCAGAAACAAAATCTGGGTCTAAAAACATGATTTAGGACATTTCATTCAGTTTTTAAAACTTCGAACGTTTATTTCTTTAGCTAACCATTACCAATATGATTTAATTTGAACTGAAAACGAGACGAAGTCATTGCCAGATACTACTAACAGGTATGAAGTCGCAAATAATCTAAAAATAAACACTTTAACAGATCTCACACTTATTTTGCAAGATTTTAGTTTAGTCTCCCATAAAATGAATAAACTAGGTAGTATTGCACTGGCAGTACCATCTTATAGTGCAAGTTGTGAAAGATCTTTCAGCACTTTAAACAGAATTAAAAATGATTTAAGAACAACTATGAGTCAGGACTTGGGCATTTTGTTTGTTGAAAAGGATATTGCAAAAATTAATAGATTTATAGTTAATTATAGATTCGTTGGCCGCTAAGCATAATAATAGAAGAATGCCTCTCCTAATATTTTGCGTAAATAACTATTTCATTTTTGAGTTATTTCACTACCTTATTAAAGTTTCATTCGATGTTTATAGTATTATTCATTAATATAAATATTTTAAATATAATTTCGTACAGTAGAAGAAATTATTCAGTTCAAAAAATAGATTCGTTTATAATAGTTTTTATTATAGTACTAGTGTTGAAGCGAATTTCATTGGGCATTTGTTTCCAACATAATAAAGTAGAAAAATATTGAAAAAAAAAATTTCTAATATTTATATCGTTATTCTACGAAAGTAGATAAAATCTCGTATGATATTTGTATTGTAAATTCATTGTGAGGCACTCAAGGTACTGTCAAACTCCGTTAGCTCCTTGTTTGACAAAAACATGTGGTTATAAGTGCTTTCTAAAAATGAATCTTTGCAACGCTTGTACGTTAAATTAAAAAAATATTTTACATTATATTCAGCCAAAGAAGAAAACAAAATATTTTGTAAAACAGATATATTATATCCAACTCTTACAATTAAGAGTATAAATATCTCCCGCCCATCTTGAAAAATTTTTCGTCGCCTTGCGCCCAAGCGGTAAATAAAGCTGGCGCCGCCACTGTGTACCTAAGTGACCGTCATCATTCATCAAATATCAAATTTTACCAATACTTGTTACAAAATCGAAAAAACACGGTAATGAACACCAGATTTAATTGTGTAAAGTGGATACTTTCAACCTTATTTACCATACAGTTTTAATGGATATACTATCAGAACATGTCGAGTCTAATTAACAGTCTATTAATTCAAGTTGAAAATATTTTGTGTTAATAACCTAACTTTCAACGGTCAACTACTGAACATGAGTGACAATTTCATAGCTACTATCACTTTGGCAAAAAGTCCCCACAGTAAACCAATTTTATTTCCCATAGCGAAGTAAAAAATGAATTATTGAGATGAAGGCAACGTTCCATTGAGATTAAGTTCAAATTGGCAGGACAGGATCACAAGGTAGAACACTAAGACATTTGCAAACCCATCGAAAATTAAACACATGGTATAAAGGTTAAACGGCACTCATGATGGTCGCAAAGATTGCGTGATCAACCAGCACGTCCGTGTTTAAAGTAATAAGAATATCAAAGGCATATCGGCGGCGTGTTCATGTGAAATCCGATGTTTTTTTATAATTTTTACCTGTATAATTGTAGTGGAGCTCGACACGACAGGCGTGAGCCCGCCCACCGATTGATCGGCTCCGCCTTTACAGCGCAGTTCCGCCATCACCATTGGACGAAATTCAGTCCACGTGATGGGCTATGGGCCTGCTGAAGGAGCAAGAAACGAAAACAAGGACCGAGTACTGTATCCACGGACTCAAACTCTAACAATCGTTTTCTATTTCTCGAAGCGCGGGAACGAGCAGCAAAATCTGCACGAAGCATCGGTGCAACCTGCAGGGATACGCGTCCTGCAGCAAAAAGACATCGCCATACGCAGCAGCGTATTTTTTCATCGTTTTGCTGCGAACTGTCGATGTCGTGAGTGTACTTTGCAGTGTGTGATATGATAGATTGGCACTGTGGTAACTGACTGTGATGGTTTAGTTTGTGAACACACTGTGATGGTGGTTTATTGTGACATTAGTTGCAGACGACAAAGGAATTTTATTACTAACCCATGAGGTAATTTCATGTTGTTCAAGCTTCTCCTCATAACAGACTTGCTAAAGTCATTAGCTAACTAAAATTGTATACAGAATGGGCTCTGAGTGAAAAAATATCCAGCTCCACAACTACACATAGCCCCGCCCCTTAACTCCTATAAACCCAGTCCATATAAAAGCCTCTATCTAAAAACACACTTGAAACGCTTCCGCTATCCGCCTGCAACATTTTCAACAAAATAAGTTTTCAGCAGCGCACCTGCCCAGTTTTCCGCATTTCATAGAAATTAAATAATTAAAACATATTCCTGTTTGTCTAATACGTGCACAAAAGTAAATTCAACGTACCTACGACAAATTTTATATCATTATCATAATTCAGTGGCAAGGCACATATTCTTGTTATCACCAAACTGTTGAAACCCATTATTGTGTTGTGTAAAAGAAGCACATTTTTGGACCTTAATACAATTATGTATAGGAAGTGCATGATACTCAGAGTATTGGCAGTGTTGCATACCTACATATTTTCTGAAACATTATGAAACTTACACATTGAAAGTTGCACTTAGAAACATTGAAGTGACGAAATTGTAATTGAATGCAAATTTTACAAAAATTGCAGGTTTTGGATGGATTACATTTCCCTAATCTTATGGCTTTTTGAGACCCATTTAACAATTTTAACGTTTGCTTTCAAACAATAACAATGGCCCGAATGAAAAAATTCGACTTTCTCTTTATCTGACGTGAAGAATATTGTGTCTTAACAGCACAATATTTGCTGATTATAATGATTCTAAAAGTTCTGTAATCCTCTTGTTTGACCCTTTATGATGATGGCAAAAAATAAATCGAGGTTTGTTTACTTCATAGTTGCTCGCATTCACTCATGTATAAACACGTAAACAGAAGAAATGCATTGAAGTTTACAAAATAAAAACTATAAACAACTGGCAGTACAGAAACCTATTTCTTATTAAAACGATCTAAAATTGAAAAATAATTGATATTTTAATGTGCCTCGATCATTGATTAATCAGAATACATAAATCATAACTGAATACTTATTTAAAAATCCCGTTAAGGATTCGAAATTTTCAAAAATATTAAAATTTTATAAAATAATTAATGGCTTATTGTGAAATAGAAGTACTCTCTGTCAATGAGTAATAAAAACGTTAAATTCTCTTTTTAAAGAGACGAAATTATTGATTCAAAATACCCAAGAAAAAAGTTATAAATCCTCCTCAATCAAGTAGGACTTTTCTACAGAATAAAGTTGAAGTTAAGTACCTAGATGAAATATGTGTGCATGTCTGTCAAGCGAAAAGGGTTCAGGAAGGTCCAGTTGTGAGAGTTGCTTTGCCCTATTTCCTGTCTTCTTTATGTTTGTCTGTTTCGAAATTAGTAAATTTGATGGTTTGCGGTGCAAGTTTGGTACATGTCTAGTTTTTGTTAATGATTTTATCTGTTCTTTTGTTTGAACAAAACCCAAACTAAGTTTTTTAGTGGGGTTGTTTATCAATAAGCCATTACATTACAATGTTCTTGTTGCTTTCTTATCTGATCTATCTATTAAGGAGTGAAGAAAAATATTTCTTCATTTTGTTATTTTCATTCTAACTTTTTGTATGTGTTTAGAGATTTTTTCGCGTTGGCATTGGTCGATTGTTATAGTTAGAAGTCTGGTCTGAATCGGTGATGTGAGAACATTATTGTTTCTGTCGAGGCTTGGTGTCTGTGTAGTGCTCGGTCGTGCACAGTCGGTTCATTATTCATAGTATTAAGAAAACTCTTTTGTCCATACATTTTTTTATCTTGTCTGCTCTGAATATATTCCATTGCAGCATATATTGTGAAGCAGTGAAAAAAAGTTGTTGACTCAGAAGCAGAGATGCAGACTCACACACGCTATCTTCTGTCTGTCTTCAAAATGTTTAATACAAGAGATTGTCAGATATAAAAAAAATGAGATAAAATTAATATTTTCAAATCTTAAGTGGGTTCAGCACTACGCCGATTAAAGTAATAAATTGCATCATCGAGATAATTGGAAACTAAGCAATTACTCTAAGCTTATTCCGTTGGTCAAGGAATAGTGTGAAGAAAATAGTCCCTAAGAAATTGCTATATTATGAATGTAAAGTCAAACGGAAAGGTGGCAATTGAAAAGTAGCTACGCAATGGGAATGTAGGACGATGCTACATATACATACACAGGGCATACACCTAAAAGTGAAATTAGGAAAAGTACGCAAATTAATCGAGAGCTTTCAGAGAATTATAAATGGAAAATCTGACTTTCCAAACCTCTAAATTTTCAATTATCGCTCATGATGAGTATCTGCATCCTTGAGAATATGTAAGTACTGTGAGCTATTGAAGAAAGTTTCAGTCCGTATTCAATTCAAAGCGCATATAAAACGGACCGACTAAAAAGGTTATAAAAAAGTGCTGTGGTTTTCAACAAAAGAAAAACTACTAGATAAGCTAATTCCGGTTTAAGAAAACGGCAACAAAAAGCGAGTTAAGTAGGCCCAGTCATTCAAATCGTGCTTCAGCAGAAATGTTATTTCTAGGCGGACAAGTAATGAAGTAGCGAATGAGCCGCTAACTAAATAACGGAGCATGCAAGTTTTTCATTCATTAGGTCGACGCCATTGAATAAAGCAGATCAATCGAAAATCGTAAAAAGTCTTGCAAAAGCCAGTTTCAAAATTTTGCAAAAAATTTTTTTTTCTTAATCATCGATGTTGCCATTGAGTGAAGTTGGGTTGAAACTTGGTCTTGGTAACTAGAGTCTGTTTTAATATTATATACCAATCTCAACACTCGTCGACTTAAGGGCAATTTGAGCCTGAGAAATCAATTGTACAACGCAAAGATGTTTCGTTAAACAATAAAATGTTTGCTTTAATCCAGAGAGTTACAAAATTTCGTACGCTTGTATTGACCATGTTGTTTGAAATTCAAACTTTTCGAGAAGAATTAATTATGCAGGCATATGATCTGGTACCACGATGATGATTTATGAGCCGTACTCAAGAATCAGATTTCCCAGAGGAGAACAACAAGCTTACTTCAATCGATGATAGATATGCAATATATTTCCGTCACATGTTTGATTTTAATGCGTTAATTTGTTATTTTATCGGTTTCGGTGATTTTAATTGCACAGAAGACACTAATGATCAAATTTCTGTCCGCTAGATAGGATAGATAGGAAGAATAAAATAAATTAAGTACAGCATAGCAAAAAATAAAACTGTATTAGTTCGTTATTTTTCATATTAATTTATATTCACATTTTTGAAATTATTTTCTCAATATTCGACTTTTTGTTTTTATGCAGAACGAAATATCATGGAAAAAACGTTTAATTTTATGTCCTCCAAGTAAACATGTTGGCTGATTATTTTCGAATTAAAATTGTTACTCCTTACCTACATAAGAATAGGTATTACATAGAAAATCGAAGTATGTGCAAGAAAATTTAAACGAATCAAAATTTATAAATCGTCGTT